AATTAATGGGCTCATGGATCATCTTGCACCCCTTATGGGTAGACCCGACCCAATAATATATATTTTCCAACACACACGTATATATTCGAGTTAAAATCAAAATAATAAATAAATTTCAATTGCAAAATTCGTCCTAAAATTGCCACTACACTCTCGAGTTAAAAGCAATATTCGCATGTTGTTGTGTTCATCCACCAGGTTATCAGAAAATGGAAAGGTCAAAAGGGAGTTTTCTTTCCCTTTTTGTATAACTAGCATGCCGAAGTGAATGTTATTGTGCTAGTCTTATCATCACTAAACATGATTTTTAGTCGAGACGTGAGTTAATTACTTGTGAACTTTATACAAAACTAGTCAACAGTATTTGAATGCTATGATTTGAATTATATGGCACGTTCTTGGTATCTACACCTAACTTTAACCTACAATATGAACTCTCTGTAATATCTTGAATTTATATAGTTATCTGTAATATTTGGCACACGTGCGACTGAAAAGATTATTGTAGTCAGATCAGTTGCAGTAACAGCTTGTATGGATGGCTGTTATATACATATCGATTTATAATGTATTAAACTATATTCTATTATAAAATAGGATTATGTAATAATAAGGAAGGGCAAGATGAGAGAAAAAGTAAGATAACAACGTGGCCAAATCAAATAGGTCATTACATAAAGTGGTACTTTTCATCGTTACCTAATATTGGATTTAACAATACAATATAATAAAATTTAAGTAACAATCAAAACAACAACAACAACAACAACGACCCAGTATAATCCCACAAGTGGGGTCTGGGGAGGGTAATATGTACGCAGACCTTACCCCTACCCCGAAGGGTAGAGAGACTGTTTCCAGGAGACCATCGGCTCAAAAAAGCAATAGGAGATGATATATTAGTGCCATAAAAATGCATAATAAAAATAACAACAACAATATATAAGAGATATGAAATATGAAATCNAGTCGCTCACACCTCCTCACCGGTGCATCAATGCTCCTCCTCTGAATGTGCCCGAACCATCTGATTAACAAATATTATATTTAAAGTAGCAATATGATCCAATACAATATAGGTAATGTTGGACTTTAAGCCATTGGGCTTTAAAATAGAAGAAGTGTGAATTGGAAATGGAGGGAAATAAAATGGAGGGAAAATGAAAATTTGAAGAACTGAACTTTTGTCTTGCACTTTGTCCCTCATTGGTGAGGGACAATCACATTTATGTGCTTATATATAGATTCACTTCTTAAAGCTCTTAAAAGGAGTTGAAGAGAATGAACCCTCGCGTCGTCGTCGCTCGCTCAGCTTCGGTTCTGAGGCAAGGCTGCATCTTCTATATACGAAAAACACTCTAGAACTTCTATCTTTCTGAATATACTGCATCCTAATTCGCAGTCTCTCTCTCTTAAATTCGTAAGTGTGATTTTGCTCCGTTCTTTGAGTTCGTTGGTATCCTACAGTTTGTATTGCCACTGTTGCACGAAGGTTTATTCCGTTTTATCCTGGGAGGATTTAATCCATTACCTTGGCAAAGTGTGAGGGGGTTAAAATTCCTTAAGGACGCACAAGAAAATTGTGGACTCGGAATATTTCTGATTCTTTACTATTTTATATATTTCTTTATTCTTCTAACAGTTTTCTGATTTTTGTTTCAACTCAGTATCGTTCACAGGTAACAACTATACAAACAAGCTGTAATGTTGAGTTGGCTAGTATTGGATCAGTGGCATGCACAATTTGAAGTTTGATCTCCCCTTATTTTATTGACATTAAAGAAATTCCCTCTGGAGGTAAGAAATGTTGGGATTTTAAGTATATGATATGGTTAAATAAGGTGAATGGAAAAAGGAGGGAAATGAAAATTTAAGTTTTCCCCTTTGGTAAAGAGACATTGTCCCATATTAGAAGAGAAAGAGATTTTTTATGGGTAAATAAACAATTGCTCTTCTTCTAGCTCTTAAAGAGTTGAGAAGAAGGCAAGCTTCACACCGTCGTCGTCGTTGCTCGCTCGGCTTCGGCTTATTGATTAATTTTTTGGACCAAATTTATTTGTTAATAGTAAAATACTAACAGAAATGTTATTAAATATTTATTTTAATAACAGAATATTAATATTAACAACAATAACAACCCAGTAAAATCCCACAAGTGGGGAATATTAATATTAAATTCAATTTGTTTTTCAGTTGTGTAACTGAAAATTAAACTCAATTTTCCCTCTTTATTGTTGAGTAAATAGCCATTTATGTTATGGCATTTATGCTGTCGCCGTTTTGCATAAACAACCATTCTGAAGAGTTGCTCCTCTTCAGATTTCAGCCCAGTTTTGGCTATAAATACTAGACTATTCTGCTCAGAATTTTCATACGAATTTTCTGAGTTCTTCTCCTTTCTTCTGCATATTTTAACTTTAAAGAAAGCAACAGTAAGTGTGATTTGCTACCGAACTTTGTGTTCGCTGAAACATTGAGGTTTGAAGTACCCCTACACCAGTGTGTAATTCGTTATATCCTTGGAGGAAATAATCCATAACCTTGGTACTAGGAGGAGATTAAATTCCTTAAGGAAACACTCTGTTCAGTGGACTCGAATTGGTTTTTGTTATTTCATTTACATTTCTATTTATGTTATTTTATTTTCTCCAGAATTGTTTTACAAATATAGATTACTAACAAAAAATACACGTTGATTAATTAATTAACTGACTAAAGTGTTGGTAAAATAAATATGTTATATTCAATGATTTACCGTAGACATTGTGTATACGTATATTATTTTCACTTTTGCTCACGAAGAAAACATGATCGAATACATTGTATCTTAGTAATTCTAGAATTGAATAATAACTCATTAGTAAAAATACTAGCTTACTCCTTCCGGTCCAAAATAAGTGATTTTTTGGTCTTTTATTTGTGGTCCAAAATAAGTGATTTTTTCATATTTCAAGAATGAATTAATTATTTTTTTCCTACATTGCTCTTGGAGTAAATAATGTTGGAGTATGTATTAGGAGTGTTTATGTAAAGGAATAGTAAAGGTTAATATGGTCAATTTTATTGATAATTAATGTTAAAAGGTATTTTTTTAATATGTGTGAAAATAACAAAAAAATCGCTTATTTTGGACCGGATGGAATATATTTTACCTTGTACGTGCTCTTTGCCTCCATCTTGAGCTTCGTCAGCTCAGACAAAAATTTAGAAATGAACGATAAATGCACGTACATTATTCATTGAACTAAAAGTTCGATCTTATCCAAGAATTCTTTATAAAAAGACTTCGTCATTTCTAGGAGAAATTTCGGCCAAACATTAGCCGTTAAAAAAGTAAGAAAAAGCAAAACAAAATTGAATAGCAATTAAGTACCATCAAGGCTCGTCGACTTGTATTAGAGTTGTAAGTACTCCTTTCACTTTTAATTAGAAGTTTCATATTCGAATTCTGAGTGTTGAATCATCTCTGACAGAGAGCGTTTTACATCAAAAGCGGTATGAATCTGAATTTGTGGAGCTTCAAAATAAATACCGAATACCGAATAAGAAACAATAAAGATTGAATAGAATTAAGTTAACAAGATAGTCCAAAAATGTCAGCATCGAACAAATGGGGATATTTTAATACTTAGAAATCCCATGCATGCACCAAGCTAATCCCCTTGGGCCACTAGACCACCACAACCTCCATTTCTTTGTCAATTGTCCAAGGTTTCCATCGCCTTTTTCCTTTAGTTTATGCTCTTCTTATTCCTTTGTTCTTTTGTTTATTTTTCTTGCATCATCTTAACTTGAATCACGTCCATGTCGAAGATATTTTAGTGTCAATTATTATATGAGTTAATTTAGTTTTATAAATTGATAGTGTCACTTATAAAGTTATTACAGATAAATATATATATAATAGTTTGATAAAAATAATGACTGTTAACATGCCATATTAAGTTAAATTACACTAATTGTGTAATTTCTATTTATAATTATCAATGCATATATGGAGTCAATAATTTTGACTGATTAATTATTTTGTTGTTCCTAATAAGAGAGTGTTAAAAAATTGAGCGTCAAAAGTAATCAATGTTCCACAACGAACATCTCAAATCGAGGACATTGACATAAAGACACAAATCTGCCACTTAGTTTATATGAACTCCACATAGCAAGAGAATCATATCATTTCTATATCAACCTTAGTTTCATCAAGTGAATTAACAACTCATTATCAGTTTATTATCTGGGGTCATCTTTTTCTTTTTTAAAAGAAAAAAAAATCATGGGGTCATCTAGGGGTACTAAGTCTATTAACTAGCAAAGGTTGCGATGACGTGATAAGTATCCTTCCATCCTTAATTAAAGATATCTTGATAATGGAGTCTCTTTTGATAGAGAATATTTTACAGTAAAAGTGAGACTTCTCCATGTGAAGCTGGATAAGTCGAGCTCAAGAAGGTATCGGACGCCTGACGGAAAACAAAAATAATACTCCCTTTTAATAATTTTATCTTTTTCATCATCCTTGCAACAATCACTATAGTAATGTTTATTTTGAAATCTCAATTTAATTTCATAATCCTACTGATCATGAGGTTACTATTGTCTATATATCAGATCTTTCCTGCTCTCATATTAACTATTTAAATAAGGGAATAGCCATTTTAGCAACGTGTTCCAAGTTCCAACTACCCCCAACGAAAGAAAAAAAAAAACTAGTAAAATAGTTGTGATTTAATTATTAAAGTGCCTCTATTTTTATTCATAACTTTTAACCATGTCTATCCGAAAGCTTATCTACTAGTTTGATTGATCAATTTTCCACGCGGTTATTATCTAAGGATAATTGACTTTTTAAAATTAATATTCAATGAAAACTTTCCTTTTCCTACCAATTAGAAGGCAAAAATAAAGAAAATTAAGTTGAAGAAAGAGGTTTACGAGAGTAGAGTCAAGCTTCATCCAAAATCAATTTGACATGTCATCGTTAAATAATAAAAAAATCGAAATGTAGAGTACTGCAGAAAAATATTCATTACAATTTCACAAGGAAATTAGTTTTGCCAAACACAAGGTGAGAAACTAAACTAAATTCTACAAATACAACAGTTTGTTGCCCCCACCCCTTCTTTTTTTCTGTACTAGAGATTTCTTGCTGATAATACCAATCACATAATGTCACTTTCCACTATAATATTTTACAATTGTTGAAAATTTCCATGCTGTCAGCTTCATCCAATAGCATTCTACAGCGTAATATATGTTACCATCGGAAAGACTTTAGCCACATACTAACTTATGGTTGAAGAACGAGGTGATCGAGAAAGTCGTGGGCCTCATAGTACCCCATACGACAGTTCTGTGGAACTTTTTGTCACTGAAATTGAAAAGCTGGATTTACAAAAACTGGCTGCTGGTTGAAGAAGATATTATAATTATTATTTTGGCTATTATGTTGGTGTGACACTTCCCCTAGCTGAGATTTCTCCATTTGATGAACCACATTTGTATTAACACTATTCATCGTGTAACTTTGGTCAATATCAAAACTTGTATGGTATGAATTGTCACCTAGCAATTGTGGAATTGACCCAAAATAATCCAATTCTAGTAGATGTGACAATGAACAATTCCTTGGCAATTTGTTTGTTTGTGGTCCACTAGTAGTAGCACCAACAACTTCAATATCATTATTGGTAATCTCAATTTGAGCCTCTGATTCTTCTTCTTCAGCTTTCATCATCTCCATACTTTTTCCCATATTTTTCTTCTTATAAATTCTACAAAGTACCCAATCATCTAACTGAAAAATATCCAAGAAGGAAAAAAAAACATTAGTGTAATTCGTCGAATGGATATATACAAACGATTCGTATAACTGACCCCGACTAATTTGGAACTGAAAGGTCTTACCCTCATAGAGCCACTTTGCTTGTTAGGTTGAGATCTTGATTCATTTAAACGATATTCATGCATAATCCAATCAGTCTTGACACCTTTTGGAGGTTTTCCTTTATAAAAAACAAGAGCTTTTTTTACACCAACATATTTAGATGCACTATAAATAGCTTTATCAGTTCCTGTAGCCTTCCAATAACCTGAAACAGCTGCTCTATTTGGCCTAACACCATTTGGATATTTCCTATCACGAGGGGTGAAGAAATACCATTCATTTTCTCCAAATTCAGCTTTCTCTACATTTCATAAAACATAATCATCATAATATTTCAAGAAACATTCAAAAGTGTATTATATTCTTCGAATTTTAAACAATTTTTCGAGTATATATTGCATACTAACCAGGCAATTCCCAGGGATCGAATTTGTATAGATCAACTTCGGGGATAATTGAAACGGGACATGGCCTCGAGGTAGCTTGATATCGAAGATAATACATGATTAATTCTTCATCAGTAGGATGAAACCTAAATCCAGGAGGAAGATCCGAGCTAATTTTCCCAACCATATTTAAAAAAATCTTTTTCAAGTAAAGAAATGAAAGAAGTGGCAAGTATTTAATTATATGGTTTTATATGGAATAAAAATAATTGTTCCTAGGTGGGAAAAAGAGGGGTTGGTGGAGGAAATTAAAAGAAGAGGGAGGAGAGGGAAATTTTTGATTCTATAGGAGGAAAATGAGAAGTGAGAGAGTTTGAAATGTTTGCAAGGAGAAGGCTGCCCAATTTATAATTGTTGGAGGTTTTTAAATTTTGTCCTTTTTTGATTGGTTGTTTTTGACTTGCATACCTCGTATGAATAGCACAAGCCATGCTTGCAAGATGTAATATATTAGGCAAAATCACTATTTTTTCTTTCTTCCTTCATTGGATAACATATGGGATTGGAGAAGGGCATGGAGTAGTGGCAGAGTCAAAATTTTTATTTAGAAAAGTTAAAATATAAATAAATAAATAAGTAAAAGAATGTATTTTTTTTTACCTAACCAAAATATGTATTTATATATATGTAATTTTTTTTACCTAACTACATAATATATTTTTCCGGTAAAAGGGTGCCAAGTGGTATAAGGGCATTGGGGAGAGGAATATCCTTAGTTCTTATCTCTATTTTCTTGTTTGTGGAACTTTAACAAACTATTATTCTTACACATTTTTCTAGTCAAAAGTTATGGTCCTAGGCCAATAAGATTGGAGTTTGAGGAGTATGAGGACAATTGGGCAAACGAATTTTGGACCTTTTTGGTCATGTTATTGAGTTCTGATATTTTATTTTCTTTTTACAAATAGCTTTTTCTAGATAGGGATGAAACCCCACATATGTAGATCCAATATTAAAAGGTAAATAGCACAAGGGCCAATTTTTTATTTAAATTTCACGGATTAGAAATGTAAATTTTTAATATTGCATTTATTTTACTTTTAAAATATGAGTTTAGATTTTTTTTTGTTGAGTTTTTCCACTATTTATATATTTGACCAGTTTCCAAAGCTTAATAGTGATACAGAGAATGGTTCTTCTTCAAGTTGCATGGCCAACGTAAAGAGGTCCACTATTTACTTCTATAGTTCCTTTCTTGAAAATAGAAAAGAGACTTTTCAATAATCCAGTTCTTTTTTCTGTTCCATAATCATAGGAACAAACTTATGTGCTCTTGTCGATAGAAAGATTCATTGTATCATAGAGAATGTGAAAAATGAGAAAACAATTCTCCCACGTGATTTATAATGTGGTTGTTATAATTACTCCAAGTTTCTTTGAATTTCCTAAAACATTTTTAAAAGCAAAAAAAAAAAAAAAAAAAAAAGGAGTTCATTGGCGTACATAGATATTGTATTCAGGGGTAAATGTAGCATTCTAGACTGCAGTATTACATTCATCTGAATTCAATATTTTCGATGCGAAAAATAATTTAATATTACAAAATTCACTAACTTTACAATAAATAGTGGATATGAACTTATGAAGTTTAAAGATACAATAAGTTCAATTTTACGAACCGTAAAAGTTGAATACATAGGGTTTAAATTTCGAATCCGTCTCTGATCGTATTATATTAGTGTATTTTTGTGGGTTTATTATATCTATGACTTCTTTAAACACATAAGTCAATGTGTTTCTAAAGGAGATACTTTTAAATTTCTTAATACAAACAATTTTATACCTACTAGTATTACCTTTCTATGGAAAACAACTCCAAAAGAATAGCTTTTCCCGAGCTGTTTTGGATAAATGGATAAGAAAACCACATACATTGAATTAAAATATAACTTCAAGCATTATTATTATTTTGGTACAGACATTACAGGACACATCATTTTTGTAATTAATCTTTCATCAAATTAAATACCCACTGCATAGTTCCTATCCAAAATATCCATTACAAAGTCAATAAGAGAATTAATAAGGGGTTGCGAACCCAATATCGCGAATACAAAATTAAAAAAGCGAAATCATATCCATCTTTTTTTCTTCTTCTTCTTATCAATGTAATAATATATTCCTTTGTATTATTCGCGGTAATAGGGAAAAGAGGAAATATTCAATAGGCTGAACAATTAGCAGAATGTCACCCGATTTGAACTCAAGAAACTACATTACACTGAAATATATAGTAGTACTATAATATTCTTAAAAATATAAAAACAGTAAATTGTAGTTCCGAAAGAGTTTAACTTATATATTCTGATAGTGTAATGAAGTTTTTACACTACTATTACATCATTCAAAAAACATCTACAAAGAAACCCTTCATAAAAAGTGATTTGTAACTTTAATAATAATACAAATTACAAACTAGAACCAATTATTTTACATAAGCACCAAAATAAAAGTGGATAACGTGAGCAGAGTACATTGCTTTTTCCTACTAAAGCAAGTACATCTATCATGACTTCTCAACTTAAGTAGACGATGCTAATCTTAATTCTAAATAGAATAATTATTATTCCCTCTGTCTCATATTATGTCTCATATTATGTGTCGTGTTTGTGTTTTTTTTAAGAAATATTAATTAAAAAAGGGATTAGATTATTCTACCTTTATTTATGTCTAAGATATAATTTTTTTTCATTGAATATTTATTCTATTTATGTGTTATCTCTATTTTTAAGAACAATTATTAGTAAGGGTAAAAAAGAAAAAAAATAATTAATTTTGTTTTGAACTTCTAAAATGATAAATAATTTGAGATACCTATTTCTAGTAATCATGACTATTAATATGAGAGGTAGGGAATAAAAAAAGTAGTTTATGTAAATGATCAATTGCCAAAAATAGCAAGGAGTTCCAACTTTAGAAAGTCGACAGGTGTCTTGTCAAAAGAGGTTAGATAAGATAAGAACTAGAGAAAAATGTAGGTCAGTTGCTTGTGGTTCTTATCTAGCAACCTCACTATTTAGCCTCTTTTTGGATAATTCAAGCCACTAAATTTCAACATCTACCCAATTTAATATTAATCACAGTTGACGCTTAGGCCCATAACGAAGTATAAATTTGGCGAGGTTCATCCCTCAGCGTGGGGATCTTTCTGAAAATAAAAATTTGTTTTGTTGAGGCAATTTTCCTCGTCGCTTACCCGCATTTCTCTTGGTATCCCACCTGTGTGCCTCTTAATTCCGTGAAGTCCTTGGAGTATGTGCGATTTATTCAGGATCCTTGTCAAGAAAGAAGTCAGTCCCTTATTCTTTATTTTATGCTAAAAGGTCTGGACTCGAAGAGGGGGTCGATTCACGTACTTCATCATTTCCTGGGTCGTTATCGCCTTTCCCCGGTTCAGGGTATGGGTTCTTTCTCTATTAAGAAAGTCCCGGTGTGAACTCCCCTACTGATCTGACTCCAACGGATTCTCGAGAAGCCAATTCTCTCTCTCGATCTAGATCTTCTTTACCGACAAGAGCTCTTAATGAATGAGCAATGAGTTTGATTCTAACTATTCAAAGCAGAGGAAATAGAATATTATATAGCCTATAACTATAGGGCTAGGCTCTGCTCCTCGCTCGAGCTACCAGGTTTCTTAGATTTCATTCCTGTTGACTAATCCGAGTCCTTGAGAGCTTAGACGTCATCGGGGAAGAACTCCGAAACNGCTTTCTTAGATTTCATTCCTGTTGACTAATCCGAGTCCTTGAGAGCTTAGACGTCAGCGGGGAAGAACTCCGAAAGAATTTCATCGGCTCCTCCTCTCTTGCCCTCTTGATGGTATCCAGTTGAAATGGTTGCTGGATTGCCCCTAGTTCAAGCTCTAAGTCAAGCATTCAGGCACCAAAGACCTCTGACTACGCTCCTCAGCCTAGGAAAGAAAAATCCCATTTGCCTAATACGTACTACTGTGCAGCAGATGATTTAGCTGTCGTTATTCCTCCACCAGCTTCTTCTTGGCATCAAGCCAGGCCTTATTCCTTGCATCAACAGGCAATCCCGCATAAAAGAAAGGATACTGACTTGGCTGATTCAACAAGGGAAAAAGGCATCCATTCAAACTGCTCCCATTCCTATGTTGACACCAAGAGAAACAAACCCTGGAGTCTTCCTCTCTATCCATTCCTTTTTCATAATCATAAAGGATGGAAATGCTTAGCTTACTAAACCAACAACAACGTAGTAAGCTCCCATATCCGTGAAGGACTGCTTTCCAGCAAAGAAAAACTTCTCGTTGCTGAGCTTGCCATTAAAGAGTAAGATGCTGATTCTATAGTAGCTCCGATTCCTTCACCGAGAACGAGAAGGAAGTCTTATAGAACGAACAAGCGCTAAAGAAGGGGTGGGATCTCTTCTAAAAGAAAGAATTGACCTCGAGCCTGTCCTACTCATTCTCCTTTTCCCGTTCCTGACCCTGAGTGTGGAGGGGTTAGCCTTGAGTTAGGTCTTGATTGTTTATTCCATTTTGTCAGTTTATGTACTGGAATGGGAGTTACGGATATTCATTCCTAAACTATGTCACCGATTGGTGACCTGATCCAGCTAAACAAGAACTGCTACCGACGCCGACTCTATTTTAACGACCAGTTTGCCCCTGGACATTCCGCTAAGTCTAGTTGACAAGTTCCTTTTTTCACTCTATAAACAAAACAAGCCCTTAGTCAAGAGGTTAGTTACCCTTTTCGGTATCGGCAGAGAAAGTAGAGAAGGACAGTGACACAATAGCTGTAACATAAGCAAGCTGTTAAGAGGGAGTCAATAGCTGCCTATTCTGCGGCGCTTATTCCCACAGCAGACTCAATAGCTGCGATTACAGATGCTATTGCTAAGAGGGCATTCGATTCGAGTCAACTATATGATAGTGAAGTTCCTCGTTGGAAAGGCTCTTACTATACATGGGGATGCAGATATGTCAGAAGGACCGGATT